GCAAAGATGATGGCCTGCACCAGGTGCACCTTAGTCTCCAGACTGACATCTTTGCTCTTCAGTACTTTGGAGAGGTCTCTGACAGCAGACTTTCTCAATGCAATTAATCTTTTAATTTCCTAGCTGCTGATACCAGGGGTGTTGATTGTGGAACCAACTAAACTAAAGCTGTTAACAATCTCAATCTTTTCACAATCTATCATGATTCCTGTCAATCAGCTAATGGTAAGAATCTTTGTTTTCTTGATGTTGAGCTTCAATCCATATTGGAGGCGAGTGCCTCAGGTCCTCTTCAGTTTCAGCAAGCAGGGTTATGTCATATGCATAACACAGATTGATGATGAGTCTTCCTCCAATCCTGATGCCACATTTCTCCTCATAGAGGGTTATCCCAGATAATCTGTTCTGCATAAAGATTGAAAAGGTGTGGAGATAAGACACATCCCTGGTGTACAGCCTGCCCAATTTTGGGCCATGCAGTATTTCCTTGCTCTATTCTGACCACTGCCTCCTGGTCCAAATATAGGCTTCACGTAAGCACAATCAAATGTTCGGGATTCCCATTCTTCTCAGCCACAATTTGTTGCAATCCACACAGTCAAATGCCTTTGCACAGTCAATGAAACACAGATAGACACTCCTCTGGTGCTCCCTGCTTTTAGCTAAGATCTATCTAACATTAGTGAGTACCACAGCCTCTTCTAAACCCAGTCTGCACTTTAGACAGTTCTATGTTGATGTGCTGTTCCTGTTGTTTTTTTGGATAATCTTCAGCAGAATCTTATTTGCATATGATATCAATGGTATTGTTTGAGAAGTTCCACACTCTGTCAGGTCACCTTTATTTTGAATGGGAACAAATATAGATCTCTTGCAGTTAGTATGCCAGTAGGTTGTCTTCCAGATTTTTTGGCATGACTTGGTGAGCACATCCAGGGCAGCATCTGTTTGTTGAAATATGTCAATTGGTATTCCTATAAAGTTTATGTAAATGTATTTCAAACTATTCTTCATTTACATTGTGTTTCATACAATCTTTCACATGAATTATGTTTTATTAAATTAATCACCATTGGATCTTGTCCATCATTACCCTATCTTTTCAGGTCCCTGCCAGATCCTTCTCACTTTTTTCACCTCCTCCTTTCACCCACCAAATTGTGCAACCCTGTCATTCTAAAATGCTCCTGGCATCTGGTGGAATAAGTGTCTTGGTCTTAAAGGGGCACAATCTAGGTGGTGCAGCATGTTGTTGTTATTGTTGTTAGATGCCGTCAAATTGAGTATAACTCATGGTGACACTATGAACAATAGATTTGCACCCTGTCCTATCCTATGCTATCCTAACAATCTCTGGCACATTCAAACCCATGGCTGCAGTCACAGTGTCAATTTTCCTGGCTGCATATCTTCCTCTTTTTCCTTGTCCTTCTTCCTTCCCAAGCATGATGTCCCCTTTCCAAGGAATAGCCTCTCTTAGTAGCATGCCCAAGTATGTGAGATGAAGCTTTATCATCTTTGCCTCCAAGGATCATTCTCGCTACACTTTTTTCAAGCCCTAGCTGTTGGTTCTTTCAGTAGTCCATGGAATATTCAGCATTTTTCTCAAACACCACAGCTCAAAAGTATTAATTCTTCTGTCATCCTATTCATTGTCCAATTATCAGATGTGTAACAAAGTGACTGACAAGACCAGGGCCTGAATCAGGTGCCCCTTATCCCTCAAATTTACATTAATTGCTCCTCAATAATTTAGAGAGATTCTTGACTACAGACTTTTCCAGTGCAATACATTTCCTGATCTCCTGATTTTTGGTACAAGTACATTGACTGTGGATCCAAGTAAGATAAAGCTGTTGACAGTTTCAATCTTTTCTCCATCTATCATGTTGTCTACTGGTCCAGTGGTAAGTCCTTCTGTTTTGTGGGTTTGGGTTTGTTTTTTATGTTGAGATGAAGGTTGTATTGCTTAACCTTCTGCAGGAAGATCCTCAGGTCCTCTTCATTTTCAGCAAGCAAGATTGTGTTATCTGCATAATGAAGACTTTCCATGAGTCTTCTCATCAATTTTCTACACTACATTCGTCTTCATGGAGTCCAACATAGTAAGCAGTTATTATATAACTTAAGGTAAGAAAGAGTTTGAAATTGTCCATCAGACCTTTACCTAAAGTAAAGTGAATCACAAAGGAACATTAAAAAAAATCTGTATCATTTCTAGAAATCTGAACTCTTTGGGCAGGCTTCATATGCCAGTATTTTGTTTGGGTTTTTTTTCGTGTTAACTTGACCTAGAGGATTTACTTTCCACTAATAACTTACACAACCTTCAATATTCAACAGATTTCATGACATTCTTACAAATGATATGAATGTAGCCAATGTGGATTCTAGCCACAAGAGCTGCCTTTGAAACTCCGGATATATTCATTCCCGGGAGTGGAAGAGGACCAGGGATACTAGTGAGAGTCTTCGCTTATACTGGAGTATACACTTCCACCTTCCATGATGATGTTGATGTCTGGAGTTGAGAATGAAGAGCTCAGACCTAATTTTTTTTTTTTTACCTGAGCGTTAACATTAGTGGTAATCCAGGAGAAATCTGTGAAAATTACCTCTTGCTTAGGAAACATATTAATTTTTATGCAAACCTCAAAGTTTTGTTTATTAATAAATAGCTTTAGAAACTGTGGTTGAATTACTTATGTTTCTAATTCTTGCAGGTATATTCAGCTTACTCTGTAAAAATAATTAACTCTTGTTGGATCCTCTCCCATCTCCATCCTCACTTTCCCTACTGATGGAAAAGTGTTGGACTTCATTTTGGCATTCTCTCCTTTACAATCTGAGGTTTTTAAACTGAGATATTAGGGACTATGGAAAATTCACCTTTGTCTTCTCAGGAGTTTGCATTGTTACTTTCCTACATTGACACTCCTTATCTCTGGGAAGGATCTGGTAGGGTAGTTCTGACTCCTCAAAACGTGTGCAAACCAGCAATTCACTCCACTGACTTTCTGAGGTTGTAAACCTATAGGAAAAGATTGCTTATCTTTACCCTGCTGAACCACTGGTAGCTTTGAGTCTCCAGACATGATTGGGTTTGGGTTAGTAGCTCAACTCCCTATGGACTGTTGTTGTTGTGTACCATCAAGTTAGAAAAGCTGACACTCCACGGGGTTTTCAGAGGCAGCTAATCACATGGGAGGAGTTGGCTCATCTTTCTCTCACAGAACCACAGAGCATCTAGCAGATTAGAACCACATAAATGCCTTTGAATTGACGTCATAATTTCTTACCACTTGGCCACCAGAGCCCCCTCCCTATGGACTAGGCCTACCAAAAATCAGTGAGATACTAACAAGTGATAATATCAACTTACAAGAAATCTTAAATGCCCATAGAAAAGGAAAGGATATATAACTTTATTTCCTCACTTCTTTAAAAGCAGCACAGATTCTCCTAAATCCATAATAGAAGGGAAAAAAGTTTCTCTGAGGTGGTTTCCAACTCCTCTTTTTTTGAATTAGTTATTTATATCAGAGAGACACAGGCCAGGTTTAGAAGAGGTGATGGTACGAGAGACATTACTGCCAACATCAGATGGACCTTGACTAAAAGCAAAGAGTACAATAGAAACATCTTTTCACTGACTATGCAAAGACATTCGACTTTGTGGATCACAACAGACTGTAGCTAACCTTGAGATGAATGGGAATCCCAGAACACTTTACAACTAGACATTGCTCATTTGAACTGTATACTTGGATCAAAAGGTAGAACTGAGCAAGGAAACACTGCATGTTCAATGTCAGGAAAGGAGTACATCAGAGATTCATCCTGTCTCCATATCCTTTTCAATCCATATATGGAACAGATCATTCAGGAGGCTGGACTCTATAAGGAGTAATGTGGCTTCAGGATTGAAGGAAGACTCCTCAACGACCTATGTTATATAGATGACACAACCTTGCTCCCAGAAACTGAGGACCTGAACTGTTTGCTGCAGTAGGTCAAGGACTCCAGTCTTCAGTATGGAATGAATTTCCATGTCAAGAAGAAAAAGATTCTCACCCCTGGACCAATTGGCAGCACCATAATAGATGGGGGGTAAACCTGAGGTTGTTAACAATTTTGACTTTCTCAGGTCTTGGTTGAAAGCTGCTATTAGGGAACTCTCAGAAGTGCTGATGAGCAACGATGTCAGCCTGGAGAATGCCTGATTCTGACAAGGGTTTCTGTAATTACTTGCTATGCATCAGAGAGCTGGACAGTGACCAAAGATAATACAAGGATTGATGGCCTTTGTGCTGTGGTGCTGAAGAATAATAGTCAACATAATATGGACTGCCAAGAGAATACACAGGTATATCCTGGAGAGGGTAAAACCAGGCTGCTCTTGGAGGCAAGGATTTGAAGATACATCTCTCATACTTTGGGTGTGTGGCCAGGAGGGACAAGTCCCTAGAGAAGGATATAATGTTTGAAAGGATAAAGGGACAGCACAGGAGAGGAAGACTTGAGATGAGGTGGTTTGACACAGTAACTGGGATAATGGGAGTAGGTGTGTCAGAGTTGGTGAGACTGATTCAACATAAAGTTCAGAGCTATTGTGCATAGCGTCGCTATGAGTCACAGGTGATTCATTGACACCTAAAAACAACAACAACATTGAGCTTTTTATCTTAATTGGGTTGTATATAACTCAGAATATCCTAAGTGTGTGTAACTGTGTGTCTATGTGTGTGAATGTGCACAGGAAGACATGCCCAGGCATGTGAATCTTCCTCCATACTCTAAAATACATTCCCAGCATTTTATAACGTTTCTGGAATAGGACCTAGAGAACCATGATTAACTCAAATGGAATCTTCTTTTTGTACCATCTGATTCAACTTAATCTATCCATCATCTTCTCATAGTTTAAAGCCATTCTTAAGATAGCATTAAAATTAATGTTTATAAGCTCAAAGAAAACATCTTGGAAAAAAGGTTCATCACTAAGGTGTGAGGGGCTTTCTTCCCATGGCTCGGAGCAGAGCATCTTTGACCTCCTTGTTCCTCAGGCTGTAGACCACAGGGTTCAGCAGGGGAGTGATGACAGTGTATGTCACTGAAATGAGTCTGTCCCGCTCCGGGGAACTCTGGGACTTGGGCTGGAGGTAGATAATGGAGGTACAACCATAATGAATAATGACCACTGTGAGGTGAGAGGCACAGGTGGCAAAAGCCTTTTTTCTACCTTCAGCTGAAGCAATCTTAAGGATGGTAGAGATGATGAGGACATAGGAAATGAAGATCAGGCCCATGGGTACAACAAGAACACAGACACTGACCACAAAGTTAACAATCTCATTGGCAGTGGTGTCTGCACAAGCCAGTTTCAGCAGGGGTCGCACATCACAGTAGAAGTGTGAGATAACAAAAGCGTCACAGAAAGGCAGGCCAAATACAGATGTTACCTGGATAATGGCCATACTCAGGCCAATTCCCAGTGACCCAGATGCCAGATAGACGCAAGATCTCTTACCCATGATGACAGAATATCGTAGGGGGTTGCAGATGGCCACATAGCGGTCATACCCCATGACTGTGAGCAGGTAACAGTTGTTGATGCCAAAGGTGAGGTAGAAGAAGAGCTGGGTGGCACATTCTTGGAAGGCAATACTTTGATGAGGATTCAAGAGACCAGACAGCATTCGAGGGATAATGGCCACAGTGTAGCAGGTCTCAGATATGGACAAAATGCTCAGGAAGAAGTACATAGGAGTATGAAGGTGACGATTCAGGCGTATGATGGTTATAATGATGACATTGCCAGAGAGAGTTAGTAGGTACAACGTTAGAAAGACAATAAAGAATATAAGCCTGTGTTGCCATCCAAAGTTGGAGAAACCTTCAAAGAAGAACTCAGTCACAATTGTGATGTTTGGCTTTAAAATTGAAGGAAGTCTAAATTTGAAAGAGCTGGACAAAAGAAAAGGAGGAATGATGAGTCAATAAGGAAACAGTAATCTGGACCAAAGCTATCACCAGAAGGGGTATCTCTCCTCTACCCCAATCCCAAAAGCTACCAGTGTTGAACTATTGCACAACTTCTTAGTGATCATCCACACCCACACTTTTCTTTAGTACAAAGTGAGAAGAAAGTAAAGAGAAAGTGAAAGAGAATTTTGAAGAAATAACTACCTGGCCATTGAAGAAGTCAAGGTCAAGGAAGAGGCAGAAGATATATCAAATGTGCCCAACTCTATAGTTCCTCTTCAATACGCTCTTCAAATAGGCCCTCAAGGACCCTATTAGAAACAGTGACACAGTGAAATAGAAAATACGCCTGCTGTTGATATATTTTCAACACTGTCAATATGTATTTTCAATCTGAAATGATCTGTAAGGGAACTAGGATGACTTCTTAGAATCTTAAGACTTGTGCTTTACTTCCCTAAGGTCCTGTATTCCAAATCCCCTGCAGTCATGGAAGACTAGAAAGGGGAGCATTTTGATTGTGTATGTGTCTTCCTAGAGACCTGGACCCAATATCCCCTGAGGTCATAAATATGAAAAATAGTTTGATAAGGCAGGCAGTCCAGGTGACCATTTAGCTTAACGCCTTAAATTTTATCCAAAGACAGGAAGGAAAATACAAAAAAAAACACCTGAAGATGCTATTTCAATAAAAATGTGTTTTTCTAGTCTAAGATAAAAGAGACATTTCTTAAACAAACAAGGACAAATTTTTTTCTTTTTCCTTCAATTGTTCATAACCTAGGCTTTTATAGAAATTAGCTGGTTCACCTTTTTATCTTGCCCCATATGAATACAGCATGACAGACTATATGGAGGCAGAAGTAATCTTATCCCTTACACCAATACATACCCTTGATAAAATACACCACATTGGACCGTTTCCTTCATTTTAAAAGGTCGTATTAGTTACTTTCTTCCTCTTTTCCATCACTAACATAGTACCTTTTGTAATCCTCATTTCTTGTTCTCTCTTTTGCCTATCTCCTGATGGTATGTAACTTTAACTTCTGTCACCGTCATCATTCTCAATGATCAGTAATCTCCTTCATGTCTGTAGAGTCCAGTTCAAGTTTCTTCTTGCACGTTGTCATAATCTTTTTAAACATCTTCATGTGGAGCTCTCTTTTATAAGCACTTTCAACAGTCCTTCAAAAATTTTATAATATCCCAAAATTCATAAGATTTGTAATATATAAGTCCATTGTAACTTGATTGATGTGAGGATTAAATGGGTTAATATATTTGAAGAAATTGACTGGCACTTGACAAATTGGAATTTCTTAACAAATGTAGTGATTATCAGCATTATCTCTTTTTCAGAGAATTATCATTTTTCACAAATGAACCAGTTTAAGTTCCTAAGAGGACCAAAATGAGAAACAGGGACTTTAACCTAGTGTTCTAGAATTTGTAGTAAACCTGTAATTACTCTGACTTTCATTTCATGAAATGTTATAATTTCTATTTAACTGTTGATTTGGAATTTGTCTTGCTCTTTAAAACTTTCTTGAAATGCACTGGCCAAGCCCAAGCACTGCTGCATCTATTGCTGCAACACATGTGTGGATTAAATAGAATAAGGGTTTTTTTGCCTCCCATCTACTTCTTGAAGATGTTCAATATTTTACTTCTATCTCAGGTCATAATAGCTCAACTGGCTAATAGATCTAGAAGCCATCTTCAGTGACTTCTAGTTCTCTGTATATTGATATTTAAATGGTAGATATGAAACAACATATAAGTTTTTTAAAAATTACATTTTTCTTTAAACTTACAAATACTGAAATCTGTTATGCTTATAACAATATTTAACATAATTATACATCCCTTAAACACTTATGTAAGACTCCAATATACATCATAAAAGGACAAAGAGAATGATATTCTGATATTAAAAGCACTAATGAAAATCTAAACAAAAACCAAAAAACAAACAAACACGTCTATGACTGTTTTTGGATCTCTGTAAAGCAGGTTGCTCCTTGGAGGCAAAGATTCGGAAGCTCTCTCTGACATGATTTGGGCATGTTATCAGCAGGGACCAGTCCTTGTAGAAGAACATCATTCTTAGCAGGGTAAAAGACAGCAAAAGAGAGGAAGACCCTGGTTAAGATGGATTGACTCCCTGACTGGGGTAGGGGTGGTAGGTGTCAGAGACAACAAAGTTGATTCCAGATAGAGCAGGGTTCAGGGCTGTTGTAGATAGAGTCACTATGAGTCACAAGTGACTCAACGGCACATAAGAACAACAAGTTGGGATTCAACAGAATGGAAATAATTTTTAGTTAGTCTTTCTTTTTGAATAAATGACAAAAACATGAGATTAAATAAATCTCCTTGTACCAGTCCCTACATCAATGTGCTATTCACAGTTTCCCTGGGAAGTATACTTATTTGATTGTTTCCTGAATTTGTTGGCATTCCCTGTCCCCAATATTATAATAAACTTTTGCTTGAAATCCAAACAACACTATATCTTTAATATTTCAACTTAGCAAACATGAGCTGAGAAGTCACACAGTTTAAGAACTGTGCAAGTGGCAAGAAAGCAAAGATGAATAAGACATGCTCTTTGACTGCATGGAACTTTGGTCTTTGGGAATACTTTGGTTTAAGACTCAATTAAAAGCCCTCAAAGCCTTGTGTTCTTCCTCTCCATATTAGTCTACACATCTCTGCTCCCAAAATTGTTGAAATGACACTCTTTCCTATCAGAGACTATGCTCCCTTTCCTCTATAGAGTATCTCTGACTACATGATGAACAGAGAGCCCTGGTGGCCTAGTGACAAGAAGTACACTGACAATCCAAAGGCACATAGGTCAAATCCACCAGATGCTCCTCAGGAGAAAGATGGACAAACTCCTCCCTTGCAATTTACAGCTTCTGAAAAACCATTAAGGGTCAGATTGGGTGGGTTCCTACTTGATGGCACATAAAAACCAGCATCTGGTAAATAAGTATGTTATAACATCTTAATCAACGCTTATTGACATATGATACAGTGAAACTCACCAAGTAGTCTGCTGCTTGTATCTTTTAAAGAGCTGTGTTCATGCTGAGAGTCATATTAATTACTTTGGACAATTGACTTTAATGCCAGCATTTTTATTAACAGCTACCAAATATTTCCAACATTATAGTAAATGTTTAAATAATACCAGAAAGTATTTACATTTATATCCTTTATAAAACTATTTTTTTTAGGCAACTAGTCTCTACATTTCCTTCTCTGAGAGTCACTACCCTCTTAATAGAGAGACCTACGGCTCAGCATGAATTTGCCTTTCACCAGGCCATCTTTAGAGACCACCCAGAATGAGATACCTGAAAGAGATGAAACAAAAGGAAAATCAGGCCTTTCCCAGTTTCATTGTCTGAGACTAGAAGCGAAGAATTGAAAAAGTCACATTAGTTTTCTCATAGTTCCTCCCACAGGAAGCATCTCCTCTCTAGGTCTCAAAGTATAAATTCTGGCTTTGAGGTTCTTAATATGATGCCAAATTGTCAGCCCAAGACTCATGGGTCTTTATTTTCAAAAAAGCCCTGTCTGCTCCCATGTGATTAATAGCACAAACCAGGATCCAAATAGCACAGTGCCTTGAGACCTCATTACAGAGGCAACTCATTTCCTAATGTAAGACTAACTCTTCAGAGGCAGAGTTGACTTGGTTATTAAGTACAATCTTTAGGGTAAGAAGGCTGATTTCTCTTGCTAAGGTGAGGTGGGTTGAATCAAGATCTTACTAAAATTATGCAATTTTTCTGACACTAAATTGCAGAGTTTAAGACCTTTTGGAATTTTCTTTCTAAGAGGGAAAGAGGAATAGAAATTAAAAGGTTATAAGCAAGACCCTCTATTGCAAGGTACACAGAGTTTGAGCTCCATATATATTGACCCATAAAATCAGTTTTAAAGTCTTTGGACCCTATTTCTGAATTTTCTCATAATTTTTTTTCTTTTTTTTTGTTTATGCCGCTCTACTCTCTTTTGTAGTCTTACTTAAATTTGGTTTGCCTCAAGGTCTGACTTTTGCCAGATTGTCCCCCATGTCTTTATTCATAATTCATGTAAATGAGCAATGATCATCCACAGCCTTAAAACAAGAGAAAATTGCCACTCTGGCCACGTGTGGGCTTTTTGGTTGTGGTTGTTTTGTTTTTGCTTTCCCCCCCTTTTTAATTGATATTTTAATGAAAGTTTATAGAGATCTTGGATTTCCATTCATTCAGTACTGCACATTTTCCTCCTTGCCACTTCCAGTTCGCTTTTCTCTTTGAAAAATTATTTCATTGTTGTACACTTCTCCACCTCAACTCCAGTCCACTTTACTAAGCAGCTCTTATTTTGGACTGTTGTCATGCAAACAATACCTAATCATATATTCCTTTTAAGCCATTCTTTCTCTCATATGTTTCAACGCAATGTATGTTAGTTATCCCCTTTTCTTAGTTTCCCCCAACCCCATTATCAGTCCTGTTTTATAACAGTGGAATTATGTAGTATTTGTCCTTTTGTGACTGAGATATTTTACTCAGCATAATGTTCTCCAAAGTCACCCATTTTGTAAAATGTTTATGAGTTACTTGTTTTTTCAGAGTTGCATAGCATTTCATTGTGTGAAAATGCCACAGCTTTTCTATCCATTAGTTTTTTGATGGGCACTTGGGTTGTTTCCATCTCTTTTCTATTGTGCACATGGGTGTGCATATATATTCACTTGGGAAGCAATTCTGGTTTCTTTAGGGTATATTTCTAGCAGTGAAATTGCTGGGTCAAATGGTATTTCTATTTGCAAGTTTTTGAGAAAGTGTCATACTGTCTTCCATAGTGGTTGCACAAATTTACATCACCACCAACAGTGAATAAGGGTTCTAGTTTCTTCACAACCCTGTCAGCATTTGTTGTTTGCTGCTCTGTTAAATTTTGCTGTTGTTACTGGGGTTAGATGATATCTCATAGTAGTTTTGATTTGTATCTCTCTTAGAGCTAGAGATTTTGAATATTACTTCATATGTTTGACATCTGAATGTCTTCTTTGGTGAAGTGTCTATTCATATCCTGAAAAGAACTGTCATCAATTCTACATAAAGTATCCCAGAAAATAGAAAAAGATTGAATTCTCCCAGACTCATTCTATGAAGCAAACATATCCTTGATACCAAAGCCAGGCAAAGACATCAGTAAAATAGAAAACTATAGGTCACTCTCTTTCATGAATATAGATGCAAAACTCCTGAATAAAATCCTGGCCAATAGAATCCAACAATCCATAAAAAATATTTCACCATGAACAAGCGGTATTCAGAACAGGTATGCAAGCATGGTTCAACATAAAAAAGCCACAAAAACCAGAAAGGAACACAACCCAGCTGACACCTTGATTGCAGTCTTGTGAACCTTTTCAGTTGAGAACCCAAAGAGGTTGTGCTAGAATTTCTGACTCACAAAACTGTGATGTAATACATGTATGTTGTTTTAAGCTATCCAATTTGTGATATTTTGCTTTTTAGCTAATATACACTAGTCTATTGTTACTCCCCTATGTCAATATATCTGGTTGATGGTCTTCATCTACTTCTTTGACACTTCATCTTTCCCTGGAACACAAAATTAAATAAGAACAGATACACAAAAATCCAATAAAAAGGCCAAATGACACCAGAACCTACTCCTATAGACAATGATCAAGGTCATAGTGGCCTACCATTTGGTTTCCAAGGCTGCAAATTGCTACAAGAGGATAATACCTATCTTTATCCCACAGAGTGAATGGTGGCATTATACCAATAACCTTTAGCAGCTGAATATCATTTACACTATGACACCGGAGTTCCTTACAAAAAGATCTTGGATATATGCCACTGGAGCTCCAGATTATAAGAGAGATTAATAGGATCAGATACGATGTAGAAAAAGTCATAGCCCAAAATTTTACAAATCTGAGGAAAACATGAAGATATAGATTCAGGAATCATCCTGTTAATAAAGTGTAATAGATGCATATTTATTTACACATGAGCTATGCATACTTTTACATAAAATGTGAAATCACTAAAAATCAAAGATAAAAGGAAGAAGTATGAAGCTGTTAAAGGAATACAATCTATTATTTTCAAGGAATAGTATTTGTACTAATAGCTTAAAACTATAATAACGAAGAACACAGATGAATGGATTAACATCTTCAAAGTGAATAAAGAGAATAACAGTCAAAATGAAGCTATATATTCATTAAAAGTATCCTTTATAACGGAAAACACAACAAAAACAATTTCAGAAAAAAGTAGTTGATTGTGAACAGATTTGCATTAAAGCATATACGAAAAAGAGTTCCTCAGATAAAAGGAAAACTGTTTCTACATAAAAAATGAAGTGAAAAAATAATCAAACTAAATTTAAAATAACAGAAAAATACATGATAAAGTATTAATTAATGTTAATTATACATAATAGCAAAAGCAATGTCTTATCAAAGTTATATATTCTACTTTGATGAATAGTAACTAGGGTCTTAAATGCTTGCAAGCAGCCATGCAAAGTACAACTATTGATCTTTCTTCATCTGAAGCAAAGAGTGAAAAAAACCAAAGACACATGAAAATAAGCCCTTTAAACTAATTGACCGTACAAATCTCAGCCTACATGACCCTGATACCAAAAGAGTTATAGCGTGTCAGATAGCCACTGACTATCACTCTGAAAAGGATCACAGTAGAAAGTCCCCAACAGAATGGGAGAAATGTGGGACAAAACTCAAGGCCATAAATAGGACCAGACTTACAAATCTAATAGAGACTGAGGGGATTCCAGAGACTATAGTCCTTAGACATCCTCAAGTCTTAGATATTAAATCACCTGTGTGGCTAAACTCTCAGGCAAACAATAGACAAGCCTATAAAGTGGACAATAACATTAAAGAGTAATGCACTTCTTAGAACACACACTCTTATAGTACTAAAAAGGGCAAAATTTACCCAGGAATAGACCTCAGAAGCCAGAAAAGGATAATAAAGAAGGAAGAACATAGATGAAACACAGGGAAGAAGTGGGAAGAAGGCTGCTGCGTTGTGGGATTGCAATGTCACTGAAGAAAATGTCTTTAAATTGATGAATGGAAAAGAAATTTATTCTACAACCTTGTCTAAAAACACAATAAAAACCTTTTTAAAAAACCTAATGTTTTTAAATAAAATACAACTTCAAAATCCTGTAGCAATAATTGATTAATTTAAGATGTTGCTGTTACATGTCATTGAGTCAAAACTGATCCAGAGGTGACCCTCCAGTCGGTCTTCAGAGGGAGTAGATTTAGTGAGAACTGATTATGCATCTTTCTCTCACATAGAAGCTGCTGGATTTTAACTACTTTATCATTGGCAGTGCAGTTCCTTACTACTAAGATGATAGGGCTCCCAATTCACTTTTTTAAAAAAATGTAAAACCAACAGAATTGTATTTGAGAAAATTTATCTAAGTTTAAAATATAAAACAAAACACTACTATTTTTGTGACTATAAAAATAGTTTTATCATTAAATAATGTGACAATAATATATAAGTGATACATAGAATCAAGGCCTTGAATAATTCTTACATCAAAAATATAAACCAAAATCATTGCTGTAAGGAGAATCGGAATTAAATTGCCCTTGAAATAGAAATTCTAAGATGATCTTTACGGCACTGTAAAACTATTAAACTGACAAAACAAAAATTCTGTTCACACTGCTGTCAAATTTGAGCCAACCAATAGTTGATTCTCTAGTAGGTTTTCTACAGTTGACTATATGTCATCAACAGGAGTTTGTGCATCTTTCTCACACAGAGAAGTTGGTGGGTTTGAACCCTGCTTTTGAGTTGAGAGGGTAACATCTATTAGGCCATCAGAGCTCTCCAATCTTTTCCTAAAAGATAAGGGAAAATAAAAACAATGAATAATGAGAATAAAGAAATGTAAAAGATGGAATACAAAAGACATAAATCCTAAAACGATATATTTAAAACCAAATATATTGGTGATTTCATTAACTATAAAAAGAATAATAATCAAATCAGTAGAAAAAAAATCATCAGATTGCATACTGTTGTTAGGTGGCTTCAAGCTGTTTCCAACTCAGAGACACTATTAAATCCAACAGAATTTAGTAATAACATTAAGTAGCCTGAAGCATTCTTACATTCTTTGCAATATTTGAGCCCATTGTTGAAACCACCATGCCAATCTATCTCATCTAGCGTCTTACTCTTTTTAAGCAGCTCTTTAACAATTATAACGTCTTTCTACAGTAAATGGCTCTTCCTGAGGACATGTCTGAATATGGAAGGATGAAATATTGCCATCCTTACTTATCAAGAAAATTTGAATGAATTACTTCTATGACAAATCTAGTATTATTATTATTTGTTATTGTTTTTATTATTATGTGTACCATCAAATCATATCTGACTGGTACAGCAGGAGTTTGTCCCTCCTTCTCCAGCAGAGCATCTGGTGGGTTCAAAGACAAATCTATTTGTTTTTCTGGCAGACTATAGTGTATTGAATGTTCTTAATTGAAGCCATCATTGGAAGGTAGCGATTCTTTATTCTTTCTTATTTATTTTATAGATTTTGCATGCATAAAAGGAGATTGAAACATCATGTCTTGAGATAAAATTCATTTTAGCAGAAATCAACTTCATAGTCTTTGGCTTTACTAGTTGATGAGCATGTTTGCATAATAGCTGCATTAACAAGTCTTCCTTGCATATGCTTTGAGGCAAGGATGGTGAGACTTTATCTCACATACTTTGGGCATGTTGTCAGGAGGGACCAGACATCACGCTGGGAAAGGTAGAGGCCAGAGAAAGAGAGGAAGACTCCTAAAAAAAAAATAAATGGATTTACACCATGATTGTAACATTGCACTCAAGTAAATCACAGATGATAAGGTTATCTCTTGCCCTGCAAGATACAGCAGGTTTGAGAGCTATTGTTTATAAGTTCACTCTGAGTTGTTGTTGACTTAAGGGTACCTAACAGTAACAACAGCAACAACCACAAAATATGTAAGATACCAGTCTCTTTGCACTATAGATTTTTTGTATAACTTTCAGTTTTCTGATTTGTACATTTCATACTTTCTTTTTTTTACATTTCATACTTTCATTATTAATGTTGTTCTTATGTACTGTAAGATGAAATCAATGACGATTTCAATTTTTCCTCCATCTATCATATCAAGAGGTCACTGGGCAGGTGAGGATTTGACCAGGTAGGAGGAAGTAAAGGAATGGTGATGTAGCAGGGAAGGCAAAGAGGCAAGACACACATGCTTGGGGGAGGGAGAACAAAGAATATAATTTGTTATTTCTGTGAAGAAAGTGTCTTTCATCTTCTCGGTAAAATGCTTGTCTGTCAGATGTTGTTCTAAAACTAAGGATCCAAATTAAGACAGACTAGGAAGAAGGATTGGCCATCCACTTCTGAAATATAACAAGCCTTTGAAAACCTTATGTACAGGAGAGCACATGTAGAGTAGACTAACAGATATGGCAACTGAGGCTGAGCCCTCAAATTTGGAAACACAAAGGAGGAAGAACTGCTGTAAGAGGAAAACTAGTGATTGGTATGTGGAATGTGAAAAACATGAATGTAGGAAAACTAGACACTGTTAAGAAAGAAATGGAACACATAATATTGACATATTAGGTATTAGCAAAAAGAAATGGATTGGCATGGAATATTTTTAATCAGACAATCATATGTTCTACTATGCTGTAGATCAAAAGCTGAGAGAAAATGGAGTTGCTTTCATAGTTAAAAAAGTATTTCTAGATACAACTCACAATACAATATTCTAAGTGAAAGAATAATATTCATATACATACATGGAAGGGCTGTTAATAACACTAACATTCAAATTTATGCAGTAAAAACTAGAGCCAAAGAGGAGAAAATAAATTATTTCTACCAACTGTTGCATTAAGAAATTGATCAAACATGTAATCAAGATGAATTAATAATAATGAGTGACTAGAATATGAAAGTTGGGAACCAGGAAGAAGGATCAGTAGTCAGAAAATATGGACTTGATGACAGAAATGAGGCTGGGGATAGAATGATAGAGTTCTGTACAAGAAATGATTTATTCATAGCAAATACCTTATATAAGAAACATAAGTGAAGGCTATACACATGGATTTCACCTGAAGGGATACACATAAATCAGATCGATTACATCTGTGGAAAAAATAACTGGAGAAATTCAATATCAGCAGTGAAAACTAAGCCAGATGCTGCTTGTGAAATAGACCATCAACTACTCATATGTAAGTTCAAATTAAAGCTAAAGAAGGTTAAAACATATCCAACAGGAATCAAACTTTGATGATCTTGAGTCTATCTCCTCTGAGTTTAAAAACTAACTAAGAAATAGGTTTGAGGCCTTGAACACTAATGAAAGAAGACCAGATGAGTTGTGGGAAGATATCAAGAATATCGTTCATGAAGAATGCAAAGAGTCATTATAAATAAGGAAGAAAATATCGAAATGGATGTCAAAAGAGACTCTCAATATTGCACTAGAAAAATAAGAAGCCAAAATAAAGGGAAGCAATAAAGAAGTTAAGGAATCGAATAGAAGATTTCAAAAGGCAGCTTGGGAAGACAAGGCAAAATATTATAATGATATGAGCAAGAAGCTGTAGTCAGTAAAAAGGGCTGAACACGCTCAGCATTTATTTTTCCAGTTTTTTAAATTTTTTATATTACTCTGATTTATTTACAAATTTGAATACATTGCTTTTCACAAAAGATCCTTCCCATTTCCTTAACCCCACTCACCCATCTAATGTGCAACCCTGTTATATTGAAATATGCAAAGAACTGGAGCCAGAAAATTGAAGGGGCTGAACTTGCAAGGTGTTTCTTAAGCTGTAGGAACTGAAGAACAAATTCAATCCTTGAGTTGCAATACTTAAGGATGCTTTGGGCA